TACATTGGCACATTTGTACGTTAAAAATATTATGTACCATATTTATGTGAACATGAGTTTTTGAGTCACTCTGACTAATTGAGACACGGTTCTAAGACTTTTCGTGACATTTTGTCTCTGGCATTTCAGAGCTGGTCACAGAACAACCGTATACAAGGTTTCGATCTGTATCATTTCTCCAAGGACGAGAACTGTCCTACAGCATATTAGGTCTTGCTCATTGTACTTGTTCTTAGAGTGCAGCCTTTCTGGATGACAAAATTGTCATGACACTTTAGGGTATCGTTCTGAAGATAGCGTTAGTTTGTTGTTAAAGTGTAAATTCTTGAATTTTTTCAAACTTTCTAATGTTTGCTTAAAAAATATCTTCATGTCGTTATGTGAATATGGTACATATGAGAAGGTTGCATGCTTCATTGTTTGAGCTTACATTAGCGTGGACATGTCTGTCCCCAGGAGCGCCCACACTCTCCATGTTGCTTGAGCTGCCACCTAGCCTACCTGGCAAGCCCCTGCCTGAGTTGCCTGTCAGCAGTGTTGCCAAACTTCCCAACCAGCACCTGCATCCCAGCACCAATAAAGCAGGTAAGCCAAGTTTGGCAGTCGTCGTAATTCACCGCACTGGCAAAGAATACACAAAATGCATGAAATAAACATGTTTCATGATCATCCATATATCAGTCTGTGTGTCTCACTTAAAAAAACTGATAATTTAGTTTCGTTGGTCTCTACTCTAGGAGGTGTTTGGTGATTTTTATTTTTTGGTCCATGTATGATCACCATTATAGGCTCGTATCAGTTTTCATCAGCTTTTAAAAAACACGTGAATAGCGTTGGTTCAGGATCAAAAACAAAATGATGGACCTCGTTAAATCCAAAAACTTCACCTTCGTCAATTGTTCAGTAAGGAGCAGCACATAGTGAAGGGTTTATTATTTAGACCAGCGTTTCTCAACCTGTGGTACGTGAGCCAATGTTGAGTGGTACCAAAACTAAGTAAGAAAATCAAAAGATAATATTAACATAAATAAGTTTTCCCTGAACGCATTTGGTTAGTGGTACATTTAATGTGTTAAATTTGAATTAGTGGTACGCCAGCGAAAAAGGGTGAGAATCCCTGATTTAGACTGTTATAAAATGCAAGTTACCTGGCAAAGTTTCACTGACTTGCCACGCCATTCTGACTCTGGAGACTGTTTCAGGGACACAGCCTCCAAGTATAATGAGAGTCGTCATTTGATTGTAGTGATTTCATCTTTTTGTCCATTTGTGTTCTTTCTACACGTCCATCCCACAACGTTTTTTTTTCTGCACGATGGTTTCATTTACTTCCATTGGTTTTGTAGCTATTTAATTTACAGCAGTTTCTTAAACATATTCTGATTCCTCTTTCACTGCAGTATCCAGCACTACCTTATACATTTATATATTTTCAAATATTTCACAGCTCTCTCCCTTTATTCATGTTGATTTCTCTTGCCATAACTGTTACTGAATTCAGTTTCTGCAACTACTGCCCTCTGTCTGATATAAGTTTGAATGATATGAGATATAAGTCTGATATAAGTCTATGTTGTTATGTTAACTTGTGTCCTGTGTTATTCCAAGTGATAAATTTGTGAATATTTTGAAACAGATAACATTTTCTAATCTATTATGTATTTCTAGAATTTTTAACATTATCGTGATGGTATTATAAGCTGAAGTTCATGTAAATATTTATACATCAAGTCCCTAAATCAAAGAAAATATATCTCCATTACAAAGATCAGTTAGTTAATGCTGCTTAAGGAAATAATTGCTGTTCTGAGAGTCATACACAACCAACAGATACACTTTATGGGCAAAACACAGAGTTACTGAATGATAAGCAAGTGGTACATGTAGCTAACTTTGGGGCTTTAAAGGTTTTCTCTGAAAGGAGTAGTAGTACAAACTCAGTTGTGCCTACAAAGTGGATTTTCCTACCACATTAATCTGTTACTAAATGTAAATACACTTCTTGAGCCTTTATGACTTCAGAGTATGGTATGTAAAGTGACAGGATACAAACTAGGCAGTGAGGGTTCAATTCCAGGCAAGGGTAAGATTTTTATTTCTGCCACAACCACACCCTATGCTTTGAGATTCATTAAGATCTTGTCTGATGAATACAAAGTAATTTTTACCTCTGGTTACAGCATTCTTCCATGTATTATGATGTTACAGATGTGTGAAGCTGGGGTAATGGTAGGTAATAAGTTGGAAACTAAATTACCTTCGTGACTGACTGGTTTGTATGACATTTGTTACAGAGGAGGTGTGTCATCCTCAGCACCAGGAGATGCGAGTGCGCCGTGAAGTCGGCACAGATGAACCGGTTGAAGTGGTAGAAGTGGAGCAAAATTCTGATGCGGTAACGATACCGAAGTATGTTTCCACATGAACCTCCCGTTCATTTGTTCACATTTTTAGCAGCTAGAAAGTGTTGAGGGCCCAAAACTATTGAATATGTCATCTCTGTAACTCATGCTGATGTTCAGTAATAAATTACAAATAATTATTTCTAAAATTTGTGCACTATGCCTAATATAGGGAGAGGGAATTTTGTGACCAACTGGATAACTGTTATCTGATAAATAGGACCCCATATAGTGGTGTTAAGCATCTTGAAGTAATGCTCAGCTAATGACGTTTGTTTTTGTGTTTGTAGTTTGCGGGACCAGGTTGTGGGAATGGAGGTGGTTGTGGGGCCACAAGACATCAGGCCCGTGGATCTTCCTCATGGACCTTCACAGAAACTGATAGATGAAGAACTTGAGGTATGTAAAATTAAATATTTAAGACGTACATTTGAATGCTTGGTTTATGCAGTCGCTGAACGGAACTTATTCAAGATGGTGCAGAACTCGTTTTGAGCATAAGACCTGATTGCAATCTGTGGTGCATTCCACTTTGCTTCTCCCGTCTTGAGGGTTGGTGTATTGACGCCACTGCCATTTTCCTTTCACTTCTAGTCTTAATTCTTCTGTACCTTTAATGGCAGTCCCACTTCACTTCTTCTGGATAGGTGATATGTAACCTCCTGATGGGCATGTTCATACAAGGAAATTTGTATATCTGTAAATTTGCCATGTAATAATATTTATACCCAGAAACTCCTCCATTATGTATCTCTTTGTGGCAAACCCCCATAAATATTTTCTGGTGTGTGAACCACAGTTCACTTACTGTTGAAGTGTAGTAATAGCATGGATCTGTGCAGGTTGTATCACAAGCCATCGCCGATGTTGAGAAGATGGAGCAGGAGGAGCATGCCAGCAGAAAGGCGTTGCTTGAGGCGGAATCCTTGTCGGACTCAAAGGAGGCAGATGATAAGAGGGAAGTCGCAGAAGACATGTTGGAGAATGTTCACATGCTGATGGAAATGCCAGTTGTAGTTGCAGACTCTGGGCCAGAACCCGAGACGGTCGCAGAGGTGATAGAGGTGCCGGCACTTGGGTCCAGGACTAGTGACGCAGAAATTGTCATTGTTGATGGCAGCATGTTGGTTGGACAGGAGGAGGTACCACCAGACACACAGTGCCAAGTGGTAGAAGTTGTTCTTACTGGAAAGAATGGTGATGGTAGCAAGCAAGATGTCATCAGTGAAGGTACTGAGCCTGACGTTCATCAAGAAGCATTTGAAGACGGTAACGAGAAAGACGTTTCTTTGCCCGATAAGACGGTGACAGTACAGGATAAACACTGGGACAGCATCAGGGAGAATAAAGAAGATGATTCAGTGGAAAAGACTAGTACTGACGTCGCAGGCGAGAATGAAACTCTTATTGGCGAAGCTGTCATTAATAAAGATTTTGAATTGGATGAAGGATCCAGAATTGAAGTTGTAGCCATTGAAATTCCCACTTCCAAAGCAGAAGAGATGGAAATCAATAAAGCGAATGCAGAGGAAGATCTCAATAAAGAGAAGGTGCAAAGTGTAAAGGAGGATGAAGATGAAATGGTGGTGAAAGAGAAGAAGCAAGATGCACCAACGGTTGAAGCCACGGAGTGTGATAAAGTTGACAGTGGAAACGAGACGGGTCTGGAAGTTACACATGCTGCCACGAAGGAGTCGTACTCCAGTGAGGAGACACACGAGCAAGATATAGATAGCTGTAAAATTAAGAAAGAGTTAATAACAAGTGATGTGGAGAAAGAGGTAAAGAAAGAAAGTTTAGGGGGTGAAGTTGAAGAGAATGGAAGGGCTGAGAGAGATGTTGCTGATGCAGTAGAGAAAGAGGATTTGCCAGCACCAGAACCTCCAGGTGGAAATGTGGAGGGTGTGAAGAAGGAATCAATGAAGCAAGAGGTAGAGACAGAGGATTTGATGACAGAGACGTATGAAGTGACGGAGAAGATCAGTGAGGCAGCAGAGGAAGATGACTCTCATGCTGAGAGCAGTGAGGATGAGAAAAAAGCTGGCGAGAAGCCGTGGACTGCTGCAGAACATGCGGAGGAACCCATTTCAGAGAATACCAGGTGCAGTAACTTTCTGTTTCTTAACTAGGATGTGGGGTTCTCAAAGTCTGGGCTGTAGTGGCTTTTAGTCTGATAGAAGTTTACTAACATTTAACACATCCTTGCTGCCACCATTATTAGGGTCTCATTGCTCTTATATTGAAAGCAGCGAGGTTGCAACCCAGAGGGCATCCTTCGTGTTTCTTGTTTTATTTAGTGATGATTTTCAACCTGCCAGACTTGAGATGGAAAAATATTGTTTTTAATTATTCATATTACATATGAGTAATGTGAAATCATATTACTTTAACATTATAAAATGTTGGTAGTTTCCCCATGACCTTCATGCAGTTCACTGTGTGGTCCATGCTAATGTAATAAAAAATGTAACATTCCCTTTCTTTTAGTGTTTTGCACAGCAGTACAGGAGGCAAAACATGGAAGGAGGACGATGAAGAGGAATATGAGGATGAGGACAAGAAAGAGAAGGGAGGAGGTGATGAACTGAAGCAGGCACCTGACAACACAGCCACGCAGAAGGTAGCAGCGAGGGCTGATACCCCATCCACTGAGGATGACAAAACAAATGATGCAGTGGAACCACCACGAAATAACCGACGACGAGGCATTATTGTAACACCTATCGACTCTGTACCAAACAGTCCAGCTGCACCTATCACGTGAGTTGAAATGTATGGTAGAGGAAGGAATCTCTCTCTCTCTCCCTCCTCCTCTTCCTTGTACCATCCCTTTTCATGGGATTACTGTCAATGCTATGAATTGAGCTACAGGATTTAGGGAATGTCTACTCTGTGAGACTGGCTCAGAATAGGAGTGCAAGGGCTTCATAGTAAATTAGTTTGGTTTGCTAATAAGTCTTAATTTCCAAACTGTAATGTTGTTGCAGTGATGAGGATCGTGAATATCGAGCGTGGAAGAAATCCATCATGCTGTTGTATGGGCGCCTAGCCACACACAAGTATGCCTCACTGTTCCTGCGTCCAATAACAGATGACCAAGCTCCAGGGTACAGCGGTATTGTACACAGGTAGGAACTGCTTACTTAAAGATTAAAATATTTTAACTTGTTTTGTATAATTATGAGACTTTGGCTCTCATGATAAAGAAAGGTAAAGGCAGACGTACATTTTTAGATAGCAGATGGAAAGACGAAAGATTTTGAACTGCATGGTATGAACCATTCCCAGAATTTAATATCTTAATTTCCATGTTTTTGTAAATTATCTTGCTACTGTTTTTAACCAGTGTTAAAATGTATACAACAGTAGCTAGACTTAGCGGATTAGCATAAATTAAACCGTAGATCAGTGGTTGAGACACACGATGAATTTTATGTGTCGTGTATTCGCAGACCCATTGACCTGTCTACGATCAAAAAGAACATCGAACTGGGCGTGACACGGACGACAGCCGAGTTTCAGCGTGACGTTATGCTCATGTTCCTCAACTCCATCATGTATAACAAGACAAGCCACTTTGTACACAAGATGGCACGCCAGATGCAGCAAGAAGGCATGCAGCACGTACAGGTCAGCCATTATAATCCACTTCCCATGAAACTTCATGTTATAGATTTTCTTTAACAGTTGGTAGTTACTTAACTGAACAAGAACTTTTTTTGTTGTTATGAATCACATTGGCTAATCTCAAAAGCCCTCTTTGTCGAGAGCCAGCAGAATGAGGTTCATACCTTCAGTCTGTTTCTTGAAGGTTGATTGATAAGCTGGCTTCTGAGAGGTAGAGAAACGTGTAGAGGCGTGTTTCACAATACCACGTAAGATAATTAATGTTCAACTCTATTTATCTACAGGACGTAGGTGATTTTATTAACATTTTTGAATCAATGGATACATTTATTTTGTGTGCTGAAAACTAATTAACTATGAATGAAAATAAAACAGAATGGTGAGTGAAGTCTCAAGATCACTGGATGATGGCCAACCATAATTTTAAAACTGTGCAAAATACACTGCACGGACTTGTCCATAAATGAATGAAATTTTATATGGTCCGTTATAATATTAATGTGATGCGTGTAGGATTTCCTGACAACACAGATGCTCGTCCAAGTTGTGGGAGAAGCCCCCCTGAGGAGGGAGACCCGTACGACAGAAGCCAATAAACAGAGAGACTTTCTGAGTACTCCTGGCGGCTCTTCCAGTCAGGATGAGACTGATGGGCCCCCATCTCAGAACAGCAAACGCAAGCGGCCAGAACAAGACCGCGGCTCTGCGAAAAAGAGAAAGGTATGATCAATGTGCCAATAATCACTCGCATGCTGCTTTTTGTACAGGTTGTACCTTATTTGTGAGGCACTTGGATTGAATCTCTGTGGGGTCCTGACAGATTTTTAATCAGTCTCTCCAAACATGTGACAGTATTACCATCATATAAGCCATAATCTCCTTCAAGATCCTTACCCACTCATCATTTGTGTTCACCTTCCCAACTCAACTTTTCAGTTGAAATAGAATTGTTGTACGACCTAAATTCTAACAAGTGACAGCGATTTAATCCGAGTTGATTGCAGGTGCAAAATACTTCTTAAAACATTTGTCTGGGGTGAGCTGTGCTTGAAGACCTCAGAAAGCTCTGTAATTTCTTATTGTATGGACTCAATAATTACAATATATAAAGTTAACATTCCTGTTGTTTAGTGATACAGTAATTGTTCAGGAACATTTCCTTTCCTTATGATTAAGAGGCTTGTAACTTAGAGTTTCGAGGCAATAATATACATAGTTAAGGAAGTTAAAGCAATTTTTTTTTATTTAATGGGGCAAGGTATTCACAGGCCAGTGCACTGTAACTATGTGTGTACCTGCAAGACTCGTCTTATATGAGTTACGGAGCCTCGAATAGCTGGAAGAAGCATTTGACTCGAGTTTAATGGTACAAAAACGTTTGAACTTGAAGAGGTTGCCTGAGGCGGAGGATCAGCAGAGGGCGTAAAGTGTAAACGGGTTCTTCAGCAGCTGACTGCAGATTTGTGACTGAGGCACTAGGAAACAGCTCCGGACAATGTTTCATTTCTGTTTTGTCAACACAATTCAGCTGATCCTGTTTGAAGTTAATGTTAATATTTCAGGGGCTTCAGCGTACAATGATGGTGTCTTGTCTGTTTTTCAGTTGGGTGCAGATGAATAATGGAAAGTCAAAACACATCCTTCATATGCAGCTACATTGTACTTTACCCCAGCACAGAAGAGTTTTGAATAAGTTTTGTTAGTAGATGTGCTTTTAAAGATGTTATAGAAAGAGATAATATGAGTTTGGCTGAAAGAGTACCTGAAACCAGGTAATGCTGGCTTTGTATCATGTGCAGGGATCAATTAATGTTGACTTGGTTGACAAGTCAAGTACCAAATATGACATATTTCTTTATTCAGAAAAGTTAGCACTTATATGAAACCCGTATAACAAATAGATTGTTTATTCCTATTTGTTCATCACAAGGGATCTCACAACTTGTATAAATTTGTATCCAGCATCATACCGTCTGTTTTCTGTTAGATCTTTAGAGCTTACTTGGTTTACAGTAAGTCTATTCACAAGTTTCGAATGATTCTCAGTGTAAAAAGAGTTTATTTCCTTAAACAGCATCAACCTGTTGATATTTGTAATGGTGAAGAGGTGTGTTTACTTTGTGGCACGGACTCAATTCTTAAATATAATTTAGATCACCTTTGAGTGGTATTTCTGGTTTCCTTATAATGTTTCTTAATCTGTAAAGCCCATCAGACTGCCTCCAGATCCTGGCCCTTCAAATACTCTGATGATATTTGTGTGCTGAAACTCATCCATCACACATACATTCTGATGCATGGTAAGAGGTAAATGTTCAGAGATCTTGTCACAGCACAAAGCTTCTCTGAAAGTCTCGTTTGTGTGTATTTCTTATCTTGTCTTCTGTTTCCATCCTGGCATCTGATTCTTGGAAGTGGACCCTAGATACAAATGTTAGGCCAGTTAGTTGGAGCCTGATGATGGGAGAGCATCACCCTGGGTATAGTAATGATACAGTGGGTACTGGTGTGCACAAGTAGATTTTCCATCTGGAATTCACTGGACAAGGAGTTTACCAAACATTTTATAATTACATAACCTGTTCATGTAAGTATCTGCCTAATGCTAAGGTAATGGTACCCAAAGGTTCAACACTGCAAACGCCAAAACCTTAACCCAGTTTCATCAACCTCTTTATGTTCACAATTTTCTCCTAAGATTCGTTTTAATATTGTCATCTCCTTAGTCTTGGTCCTTCTATTCATGAGATTTGATGTTTGTTTTTCCTAAAAGTTATGATTGACTAGTACGTGTAGGTTCGCTGGGGAGTCAAGAAATAGATACAGAATTTTGGTGGGGGTCACAGAAAACTATGATGTTAGGATGTGAACTGCATTGGAGTGGTTCAGGGTATAATCCAGTGGTGGGCTTTGGGCATGAAGTTTAACTGTTGAGCTTTTGGGTTCTGCTCAGGATAGCGACCAGTGGTGGGCTCTTGTGAAGACAGTAATGAACCTTTGGGTCTCACAAAAGGTCAGGAATGTTATGACTAGTTGAGTGACTGTCAGCTTCTCAAGAGGGACTGTGCTCCGTGAAGTTCGAACTTTTGGGTTTATTACTAGACAGTAAGTTATTACTTGACTCAGGCGTCTGTCAGCACCAGGTAAATCCAGTTCAGGTAGAAAGTAACGCGGGTTGATACGTCTGGAAACATCTTGTTACCGCACCCTCCGGGCGACCCGAAGCTGGTGATGCCCACCACACTGTAGAAACCATTCTGCTGCTCCTGTACAGCCAGGGGTCCTCCGCTGTCACCCTGGTAATGCAATAACTCTACTAACAATGTGGAGGTTGAACATTTGTGGAATGACAATTAACAGGAGACTGAAGTAATTTGAGAAGAAACTGCTGCAGCATCATTTTATCCACCAGATGTCCCTCATGGACAGTATTACGACTGAACTCAAATCTCTACAGTGAGTAGCCACTTGTTGCATTGTACTGTATACCAATAATGTAGAAAGAATGAGGAAATGAAACATGAAGAACCTGAAGAGAGTACTGCATGGCCATGGAAAGTGAATGATATGACTACAGGCATAAGTTTGGTATCACAGCCTTACCCCACAAGTTGCTGCATTGCCTATTCCTGCACACAGCTGTGAGTTATCGATAGGCACTCTGATCACGTTCCACAACTGGTTGCATAGTGCATTGTCCAGGATCTGTACAGTTCCAGAGAGCAGGACAGGCGTCTGCGTGGAACCATTTCCCGTTAAGCCCCAGCCAGCGATGATTCCGTAGTGACCGGTATATGTCTCATCTGCAATGGTACGTTCATTACAGCCTGGTAGCTAATGAGTCTCAGCACCATGATACGAAGACGTCGTGCACAACTTCATGCTCTGGCCCTTTACCCCATGGAGATGGAAAGCTTCCAATGCCCATTCTAACCTAACCTCAACTGTTCTTCGTTCAGTGGTGAAGAGAAGAGAGAACAATGCCACTACTGTGGTGGTAACATCAGTAACCATAAGAACGGCAATGATTATTGTAGTATAACAACATTAACATTTCCATTGTTTGCAAAAGGAAATAGTTGTCATCTGGTAAAGAATTACGTAGAAGTAATGATGATATAATCAAGACTTGAAAACTTATTAGTGTTTTGAAGTGCTGGTGGTTCCCTACTCATCTTTATGAAAGTGAAAGTGGGATTTAATGACGAGAGAAGAAAGCAGGATACAGTCTGCTGAAATGAAATTTGTAAGAAGTGTCCATAAAATAGGATGAAGAATAATGATATTAAGAGAAGATTCCGTGTATTTGCTATAAAGAGACCACATAAATTCATCCAGAAAAGAGGAGACAGAACATCTAGGCAATTTTAATTAGCGTGCACAAGAAGTGCAGCCAGACCTTGCGGACAATAGACTCATTCTTGGACAGGCTTATAAGCCTAATCCATGAAAGGCAGGGGCATAAGAAGAGACTACAAGGGGCACCTAAGATAATACTTCAGTGCATTTAATTTAATGATCCAACAAACAATTTAAGTGTGAATGGCTTCTGTAAACATACTGAAGTATAAGTGAAATGTAAGCGCTTCTTAGAACTTTAATCTTACCACTTGATGGTGGCAGACAGATGGGTCTAATGACCACACTGTAGCTGACAGGCTGACTGAGGCGGAGCAGAGCGATGTCATTGTTAGTCCCGAGGTACTGAGGATGCCGCACTATTCTGCTGAGGGGTTGTACAACCTGTCTCATGTCCTGGATCATGTATAAGTTGTGCGCACCCAGGATCACTGTGAAGCGCAGTATATCCGGTATGTCTGGTCTCTGAACGCTGTTGGTAAAACAGTTCTAATTTTCACTCTTACCCTTGATGAAGCGAACATACCAAGTACATGCAGTATTCACTACTTGTAGCTATAAGGAAACGGTAGACGTATGCTAATATCATGTCCATATGTCTGCACCAGTGGACTGATTTTTTCATTATATCTGATAATGGCATAATGCCATTCGAGACTACCCTTTAATTATATTTCAGAGTCCTTGCCATCAATAATAGTGGTATTGCAGCAATGTTCATTACCAGTGATAGGACTGTGGTCAGTAAAGGGGCCCTACATATTTAATCCTTTAAAACCTAATGGTAACTACATGGCCTGCTCTGGCGGCTTCATCTTTAGGGAAGAAAGTGCCAGTTTGAATGTGATGTTCTGTGCTGAAAATAAAATCTCAGTTACTGATGAGTTGTCCAGGCTTTGGTGTGGAGTATGTGTGAAAAAAATGTGCACAATATTGCATTCATCTAGAACCTGACACCTGAACATCACAGCCAAGTGCTTCATATTTACAACGTCCTGGGTCAAACTTCAGTTTAGAGTTTTTCGTGATTTTCTTCAGTCCTTCCAGTTAAGTGTGGAGATAGTCCCTTAAAATAGGCAATTTCTGTTGCTGTCTGTATATAGTCTTAGCTACTGATGCTGTCGTTAATTAAACCACAAATAATATAACTGAACCTTGCACTTTTGCACAGGTGACACCTAGAACATAATGCCCACAGTTTGCAACACACACACACATACTTACATTAATAAACAGTGACTTGCAGTCAGCACCCACTCACTGGTGATAAGGGCTCCTCCACATTTGGGAACGTCATCAAGTTTCAATGCCACGACCCATGGAAATATGTTGGGAGACTCCATACCCCCTATTATCCTGCTCTCGACAGTCTTTGGCTGAGTGGTGTGTCGCTGCTTTGTTCTGAATATCGGGATGGAGTTTGATGTCATATTGGAGTTTGGTTTTGATAATAAGGAGTTCTCTTTGGAATCCGTGCTTGGGTACAAAGCATTCGCGATACCACATGCCTCCACCACTGAAAATTTTGAATTAAAAAGTTATTTTGATGTATAAAAAGAATATATATGCACTTTGAATAATATTCTATGGAGGCATGAGAGAATAACACAAATTGAAACAAAGTGGTAGGAGAGCGTACCAAAGAGCACAGAATGGAGGATGCTGCAAAACAAAGAACTCGGTGGTTTCTACAGGTCATCTAGTATTGTTAGGGTGGTAAAATCAGATAGGGGGACACAATAAATGCATACCAAATTTTGGTTGGGAATCTTTTAACAAAACAGCCACTTGGAAGATCAAGATGGTAATGGCTGTTAGGTGGATGAAACTGGCTTGAAATTGTGCCTGGTGGCAGGCTGGCTTTGAAGTTAAGAGGCCTTGAATGTTAATTTTTGAGTTTATTTTACTGCTGTTTTTTCACATACATTCATTTAAGGCCGTTTCATGAAATGTAGAGTTACCTGGATGCTGTACAGATGAGCAGTTTATCTGAGCCATTCGGATGTTCCAAAGGGCACTGGGACTCTGTACGGTTACCACAACTTGAACCTTTGACATGTCTCTCACTTGAATCACAGCTAAACAAGAGCATGAAACATTAGGATTCGAGGTTTTCGCGGTGGGAAGTCTGTAGGTGGCTGGTAATGTAAGATAATTCTTTGGAGAAACTGAACACCAAAATATGGAAAATAAAGCTTCTTAAGCTGTTAATGGTGTTAACTGTAGAGGTTACACAGAATTGAATTACATGGGAAGGTGAATGATGATTAGGTAAGAATTTGGAACTTGACTTTAGGGATTACATTACCTCATTATATTTGCATTTGAAATATGAGGCTAGAGCATTGCTGCTGCTGTAAGCCTTTGATGTGAAAACCGAGTTCTAACCTTTTCTCTGCCAGTAAACGGGGACAATGAATCAAGTTTGGCCAGAACTGCAGTTCCTTTTCTGTTGCACATTGTTCATATGAATGAGTTTATTTGCACCCCATATACTAAGGAGTTTTTCAAGATCTATCTTCATTTATTCTTTTGATTTTCGCACAAACATTTAAGGATATGACAATGCCCTCACTCATTTAGGACATCTGTACTCTGGAAGATTGATCGAAGGTATGTTGTAGATGGGGTATATAAGATGTGAACTTACTGGATATTCCATGTATCAACCCACAGAATGGCACATTATAGCCATCCAGACTTTGGCTGTACTGTAGTATCATTACTGAATCTCGTACGCAGGCACTTTCTACTGCAGGAGACAGTCTGACTTCCAGAAACTCCACCCTGTAAACAGAACACAAGATCTTGGAAGAACGTTCAATTCCAGTTTCACTTACACTTCCATCTATACAGGGAGATTTCAGATTATAAATTAATAATTATAGAAATGTGAGGTTCTTGCAGCAGTGAAGATGTCGATGTAGTTGGGTTGTAACACTGGGTTTGTATGTATAAATCAGCATTTTGGGGGAATATCAGCACCTCAGCTTATCTTTTGTTTAGTTTTATCCATGTTTCTAGCATTATTACAAAACAACTCCCTCAAAATTGCACTATGACTTTACAGACATGCTGTGAACTGTTTTAGGGATACTAATAACTGCCTTCCTATTTTGACATAATGAAGGACCAGCCAATCATGGAATTCGAAGAGAATTTCAGAGCTATTGGTTTTCAATACACCACTCAAGAATGCCATTTCACATTCTTTATTATGAAACAAATGAGCAAAGATCTTTGGGGAGACCTTACAAATGTTGGCATGGGACCATAAGACAAAATTGTTTAATCAGCTGCTTGAGAAAGACTCTGAACCATGGAGTTACATACAGAATGGAGTAAAATAAATAATAAGTCAGTTTTGTATGGTTGTGAAATATGGTTTCTTACTTTCTGGAAGAAATTAAGTCAGAGGTCACATTGTTAGGCAGTTATACCAAATGAGGTTACAGTAGACCAGATATGTACCTTGAATGGGGGAGACAAAATTTACATGTGTTGTAGCTGCTTACCTGACTCCACACACATCCTGTCTAGGAACCATGGTGAAAGCACAGTTGACAGGTTCCTGGTTCGCATTTGGATAGTTGGGATTCCGGAAGAGGGCCACAGAATTATATGTAGTCTGACCACAAGACTCCCTAACTGTAAGAAACATATTCATCTGTTTATTTCTTATGTGACGTCTTTGTAACTGATGGAGAAGTGATGTGACAAAGCTGTGTATAGTGAACAGGTAAGGATGAGTGTGGAAGTAGTCATGACCTATTTCAAAGCATAATTTCAGGGTTTGTTTTTTATGTACAGTTCCATACTTACAGGAGCAACACACACCCCTTGACGACATCTGTGGTTCAAAGCAGTAGCCTATGGATTCACCTCCTGATTGGTCACAGTAATGCCTTGAAGTACAAGTCCCTCGTTCACATGGCACAAAGCCACCAAATATGCCAAACATACCTGAAAGGAAAGTTTTGTAAGAAAAACAGTTTGTTTTAATGAACAAATCGCATGATATTAACATCTATTCAAATTGTTATTGATTACAAGCAACAAACTGTTGTTCCTTATTCAACAAGTACACCAGTGTGTACGTGGGATTTATGATAACAAAATGGTGCTGGTGCAGGTTTTTCTCTTTGTGAGTACTGAATGTTTTGCTTCCAGTTTTCTCTGTCCTGTCACTTCATCCCTCTCGGATCCAAATATTCTTGAATTCTAGGATAGTTGAGTAGAAAAAAACAAGACCACTTCTTTTCAGTTTCCTGTTCACGGTCATGCACTTGTTAAAGACATGAACAAAGTCAATAATACAGAAATACTCACTGTTTTGCCTCATGTATCCCGTATTCAGGCTATTTGTTACATAACTCCCCGCCATTTTAGAGATGCTATTGGGCTGGACACCTCGCCTGTAAACAGACAAAATATTTCAGATATTTAACACCAATTTGCAACATGCAGTGACAGGTTGCCTAGTTTAAAGGAACATCATAACCTTAGAAAGACATCAGTGATCCAAAGTGGAAGACCTAGCAGTATTTTTTAAAAATGATAACTACAACTAGTGTAAACAAATTATTATACAAATCTAAAGAAAGATATGAGTACTTCACAATATAAGTATTTAGAATAGTCAATTGTGAAGTTCACTCACCAGCATGAAAATAGCAGCAATAATCTGGCAGGTATGAGGACCATAACTTTTACCCTCACATTATCTTGTCTGCACACAGACTGTGATGCCAGTGAGAGAGAATACCAGCAGGATATTCCACTAGAAAGCTGTTACTGGTGTACCATGATACTCTGGTGTTTACCACTGATTAGACTGGTTCCCAAAGTAAAAGCCATGTGCACAAATAGTATGGTTGCTGAGGTGGGACTTTCAGTTCTTCCAGAACAGCAAGATTGATTTGGCACAGAAATGTATGGATATCATGCATATCAGAAACCCTGTTAGAGAAGAGAGTGATGCATGCAGTTGAAGATAAAGATATTGGAGATTCCTGAGTTGCTTTAGCAATCAGTAACTCAGCATTTTGTATTCATGATGATGTGTTCAGTAGGCTTGTTACATTCCCCCGCCCCACTCCCCCATCCTTCAGTCATGTTGTGTAGGGATTTTAATGCCTCGCATTTAAAGGTTGGTTTTCCTTTCTAAACTAGACTTGCAATTAACTGTGGTTCAGTGAAGGAATAGGAACATTCTGTTTCCATACATTGACGCCGTACAAGGTCAAGCGTCCTATTTTCAGTAGACTGTATTGTGATAGGGGCACTTTCATATGCGGGCGTTTAATTTCGCCTAAATGCGTATAATCGAATGAAATTTTAGTAGGGACCGTAGGCTTTTGACTGTAGGATCTTGCACAAAAAATTGTCGTCTTATTGGACAGGAACGAGGTTCGAACCATAACTTAAGATGCAGAATGCAGAGACTTGCGACAAAGCCTGACTTAATGCTTGATTAATTTAGGAAAACGGGAAAAATGAAGTTCCACAAGGTTCATTGCTTGGCCCTCTCATTTTATCCTTTCTCTTGTATATCCACCCATTATAAATGCAATTTCAAAACCTGTAACCAGGGCTGAAAATGAAGACTATAGTTTTTCATTAGTTTTTTTAGTTTACCACGTTACATAGCCTGCAATTTTGCCCTCTGGTTGTCATGACTGTAAATTTGTGATAAAGGACAATCGTAGTGTTGGTAGTTGTATAACTACACAGTTATGAAAGTATTGAATTGTGAGGCGATGTGTATTAGTTTTCTTCTACATATGCGGTTAATGATTTATATTTCTCCCTTCGCTGTCAATGAGTATATTGGTATTGTGTGTCCAAGTTACCTGTATAATTTATCTATGATCTATGTACATGTTTAAGTTCATAGTTTGGTCTTGTGCATTTTCTGTTCATGTAGCCTCTGTGCCGTACACCTAGTCACTTGCTTGTCCCGTCTTCGGTAATTTTTCACTCTTTTCGTGTGAGGCGTCAGCAGCTTGGATTGTAAGTATTTTATCAGGTTATTTTCTCTTGAGAGGGCATGAATACATTGCATCTCTCAGATTCTTCCAACGTGACGTGTTTGTTATCCACTCTGGTGATGTAGGGGGTTTGAGGCAAGATATCGTGTAACGAAATCATTTTCTTGCAACATGTAAATGAACAATTTGTTGAACTGTATAACGACTGCGTAGATACTATCAGGAAAGCGAAATATATTTGTGTTGTAGGTTTTTCACACGAAGAAGCCAATAACCTGAGAACTAGTATTCTCATGGCGATGCTAAAACAATACACAAAGAAATAGCAGTTCAGATGAATCTAGGGGAGTGTCTATATAAGTTTTTTGGTTATCCGTGCCACAGATGACCTAACTGAATTATTAATTTTACATAAGTAGATGTAGTTATCTGTCCACCATTTCTTTGGTTTTGCTCAATGTATTCATTTTGAATTATTATTCATTAAATTGTGGGTCCTTGTTGAAATCTGACTACTGTTGTTACAATTAATTATTTTCTTGATGACAGGTCTGTCACAGGCTTGATTATAGCTGGCGTTCACACAATGTCATGAATTTTTTTTTATTTGCAGGAGCGGAGCATTCATATTAACCGCATCAGCTCAGCGAACACAGAAAAAAAGTTATGCTTTCATAGTTCATTGGTCTTCCATTCAGTGCAATGCAGCAGGACTGATCAGCGGAAGTGCATCGTTGGCCGGACAGTTGAGTCTTAAACTGGTCATCTTTTAGTACAGGCACAATTAGAAGAGATACAATACAGTATGGTCTTGAGGGAAGAAGGGAGTGCATAACATACCAAGCCAGTATTTGCCATTTTGATAATAACATACTCCATTTGCTTATGTGCTTGCATTTGACACAGTGCGCTGTATTATATATCTCACAATTTTATTTGTGTGATCTTTTTGTATGTAGGTACTTTGTTGTGTATTGTAATTGTGCATCATGGAAGATGAAGTTTGTGATTGTGCTATAGAAGACTTATTAAAACAATCATTTTCTTGTAGGGATTTTGCTACCAAGAAGAGAATCATTGAAACAGGCAGACCAATTCCTTTTCTCACTAAAATGGTGAAATTGTCAAAGAATAGGTTACGCCATTTTTCCGATTCTTGGTACAATACTGATCTTTGGCTGTGTGGTTGTAAGAAATCTTCATCATTGTATTGTTGGCCTTGTCTCCTTTTCTCAACTGAAAGAAATATGTGGACAACAAATGGTGTTAGTGACATCGCTTCTTTCTATGTATTGAAAAAGAGACATGAACTTTCAGTGAATCATGTGAATTCTAAAATAGCTCTACTGAAGTTTGGTAACACTCAAATTGAAGATTCTTTGAGCCCATCATACAAAATAGATTGTGAAAAACACAATGAAAAAGTCAAAGCCAATAGATATATTGTTAGTTGTTTTATAGATGCTATTTGCTACCTTGCCCAGCAAGAACTCCCTTTTAGAGGGCATCTGGAAAACACGGAATCAGAAAACAGAGGAAATTATTTGGAATACCTTCACCGCAGGGCTCGGTATGATGAGAAACTTCGTGTTCACTTGGAAACTTCAACACTTCTTATCGGCACTTCTCATGACATCCAGAATGACCTCATCGATTCCATTTCAACTGTGATGATAAACAAAATAAAAGAAGAGGTGAAGCAAACTCACTTTGTGTCTATAATCGAAGACGTGGTTGTAGATGTATCTGGAAAATCTCAACTTTCGTCTGTTCTTCGTTATGTGACTCCTGATGGCAGCGTGCAGGAACGATTCATCAGATTTTCAGATGTCAGCCAAGATCGCTCTGCTGCTTCCTTGTCAGTTCATGTTTTTAACCTCATAAATGAATTTCGATGTGGTGAGAAACTGGTAGCTCAGACATACGATGGTGCAGCCGTTATGGTGGGCGAGCATAACGGACTGCAGGAATTAATTCGTGACAAATATGAGACGGCCTTCTTCGTACACTGTTACGCTCACCAGTTGAACTTAGTGCTAAGACAGTCAGTTGAATGCATCCCAGAATGTAAAGTTTTCTTTGAAACATTGTCTGGTTTTGCGTCTTTTTTTTCAAAATCGTCAAAGAGGTTAGCCGCATTTGACAAGCTTGTCACCAGACGCTTGCCTTCAGTTGCTCCCACCATATGGCTTTATGCTGAAAGATTGGTTGAAGTTATCTCACAGTTGAAAACAGAACTTATCAATTTCTTCAAATCAGTGACTAATGACACGAAAGAGTGGGACGGAGAGACACGAATATCTGCACGAGGGTATTATGAAATTCTTCAAGATTTTGACTTCAATTTTTATTTGAAAGTGTTTTCAGGAGTACTTCCACAAGCCAAAGAACTTTTTGAGATTATGCAAACCATAGGTAACATTAGTTACTGTTCCAAAATAGTTGAAGAATTTCAGAATTTTTTAACAGAGAAACTCAACAGTTTTGAAGAGGTGTGGTCAGAAAGTGTAAGCTGCTCACAGGGAGATGAACATTCAGAATTGCTGGCTAAGAGACCACGAATTGCAGTGATTAATAATGACCAAAAAATATATTATCAGCGGCTGTACCGTGAAATAATTGACACTATGAAAGGACAGTTGACCAATCGATTCTCTGAAATTCTAAAGCTAAAGTTTGTTTCACTTCTAGACTTTGGAAACTTTAAACACTACTCTGAAATGTTTCCAGCTGCTGCGTATGAGTCCTTATTGCTGTCATATGGACGGTATTTTGATGCTCTTCTACTAAAAACCGAACTTTCTGTTATTTATTCATCGGAAGAATTTTTGAAGAGCAATATTTCAGATCTGCTCAGATATTTGATTACTTCAAATCTGAATACAGCATTACCAGAAGTCACAAAATTATCTGCCTTGTTATTAACAATTCCAACAACCAGCGCATCTGTCGAGGGGTCGTTCTCTGCTTTGAAGAGGGTCAATACTTACCTACACAGCACGCAGACTCAGGAGAGACTCACTAAATTATCGTTAATGACGATTGAGAAGAGAATTCTTCAAGACCTTGAAAGCAGTCCAAACTTCTGCAGCTCTGTGATAGATATTTTCAGTGAAAAAAATTCTAGTGTGGAACTGAAATATAAGGTATAGTGTAAATCGGTAAGTTCACTAGTGACTAACCATTTTTGTTTTATCTACGTTTCCCCTCTCTTTTATTACTTAAATTTTTATTTGAGATTCGCATAGCTGTCTTGTGTGATGTATATGCACAACAATTGCTGAAATCTTCATGAGCTGCTGCTCCCCCCCATCTCATAATTTGTCTGTTGATTTTGAAGAAGTCATGCTTTGGCATTGGTTATTTGGTTTTTGTTTTTGTTTTGTCAAGTATCCAAAAATTGCCTCTTTCTAAAATGAAAATGTTCAACTAGCTCTAGGTTCCATAAAGGCAAATTTCCAGATGAGCTGAGTGTATTATCAGCATCTAAAAAGGACTTTTTTCCTTGAAGAAAGTTAATAGTATTAGTATATTTAATTATTTTGTGAAAGTTGTGATTTTAAAGCAAACAATTTTTTTTTTAACCAAATCTACAAATAAATGTTCCAGTTCATGAATGCTGTCCCTGTACCCGACAGTGAGGATATAATGAATTTTCAATCCATCCAATGGCACTACAGTCTGATTCCAGTCCTTGGCCTCCTACAATTTGGGAGGTTTCCTGGTCTTTGAAGTGTGCATTTGTGAGTAGTGACAAGCCCACAGCCTCTGCACAATTTCTATTCAATCCTGATTTGTGTGCAAGAGCATAATGAATATTACAACATTTTTTTAGTTGTGTAATATGCAGCTTCCTTTTTCATAAGAAATGTCTGATATTAAGCAAGTACAATATGAAAGTCACATTATTTCTGAGATATATATGTTGCCCAAAATCTGTTGAACTTAAAGTAACATGTCTGATACTCATGAAGGGGAAGGATAATGGAAGTACACGTCCTCTTTGTTGACCTTGGCACTAGACAGAACTTTACATTGTGGGTTCTTTACCTACAGGGAAATTGCCTCCACTTCCTGTTGGTGGTTTAGTAGGCCTCAGAACAAGTCTGGATGCAGAGGCTAGGAGAAAAGTCTTTTACCCTTGTTGGAAATCAGACCCAGTAATCCAGCATGTCAGTCACTGCACTGGCTAAGCTACCTTCGTTCAGATTAAGGTTGATTTTTTGGCGAGTACTGTAATATTACATAATGTACTACATTATTTGAGTGTAGGTTGCTCTATATGTTTTATTAGGAAACTTTTCATTTGGTTCAGTTTGTGTAATGATGGTTTTGTTTGGCATGAGATGATAGTTGACAGACTCTCTATCTGAATGCCGTGAACATGTCTGCTTTGGATTTATGTGGGAGTCTCTGAAAAACAGTGTAGTTATACGAATGTTGAGGTATTATTTAGAATTACAGCCTGCACTAAGTTATCAGTTTTGTATACTGTATTGGCTGTCACAATGGGAGTCTTTTCATGGGTTTTAGAGATATGTGAGGTAGCTGACATTGATATACCTTAAGAATGGTACAGGAATCATGTTCTAATTTGAGGAAGTAACGTTCTCTACTGACATTATTTGCTGTTAGTTGCATGCTACTCAATAAAAATTATTATTATTCAACTCATCTTCTCATGTGGATAGTACATAAGTGACTGGAGAAGAATGTTTTGTGTATGTTTATAGTTCTAATGCTGAATAAATCTTGAGGGTGGCTGTCTAATGGATTGTTGTGCACCTTGCACGCGGCATACTCATTGTGCTGTTGATGAAGGCAGGAAGTACCTCAGAAAAATTGCTAAACTTCTATCAGACTATGATGCAACAAAGCAGAATACAAATTATCTTGATACTTGCTGTTGTGAGGACCAGAAATTTCACCAAAATTATGAGAATGGATACAAATTAAATTTTTTCCAAGCATTTCTACCAGTGATAATTTTACAGTATACCATCACATTTCAAAAAAGGAGTTTTACGTTGATTACATTAAATAGTTGATTGTCTTTTAAAGGGCTCGGATGATGCCGAGGAACTTCACATCTGACGACCGTTATCAAAATTATTGGGTAGGATGAATTAGGTATAGTTGGTATGATCTTTGTGAGACAATTAGGTGAATAGTAGGTGGATGTGTTACCGACTGATCAACTATACTCGCATAGACGTTCAATTTTTTAAGTTTCTGATATGTAATCTGTGAATCCGTGATGAATGGATTATCTTTGAACGCAATCGAGACATTTGTGCAGTACTTCCTAACATATGCTTCCGGATAAGTGTTTGTGTCTGGTATTGTTGGTACGAGTTTTGTACGACAAAAAAAGATAATGTTAATAGTACAGGTGAATGTTATACCGAGTGAACGACATAATCGGTCAGACGTTCAATTTGTCTTTAGTTATCGTTGGTTTGAAGTTTTCAGTTTGTAATCGGTGATCTGAAATGAATGGATAATCTTTGAACGTAATCAGTGTGTTGGTTAGTAACTTGTGGTTGCGGATAAGTGTTTATGTCCTGGAGTTAATTGAATTAGTTATTTAACGTTATTCGTGTTATGCGATTATTGACAGCGTTTAGTAGGTTTGGATTTTTCAATAATATCAAACCCACTTTGCTGTATAGGAGTTGTTTACACGCTAGGACCATGGTCAAATTTTTAGGGCAAAAGGAAGCCATGAACATCGATATAGAGTTGTTCAATGAATATAAATTTAGCGTGGACCAATTAATGGAGCTCGCGGGTCTAAGTTGTGCTGTGACTATTGCAAAGTGTTACCCATCTGATCTAAAAGGTGACAACGTTCTTGTGATTTGTGGGCCTGGAAATAATGGAGGTGATGGGCTTGTTTGTGCTAGACATCTGAAGTTGTTTGGATATTGCCCATCTATATATTATCCAAAACGTACTGAGAAACCTATATATCAAAATTTGACTACACAGTGTCAGGCAATGAGTATACCATTTTTGGAAGACATACCAAATGCAGAGGCATTGAGCAAAAACTGTTCACTTATAGTGGATGCTTTATTTGGATTTAGTTTCAGGCCTCCTATGAGGCCAGAATTTGTTTCTGTTGTGGATACAATAAAGAAGAGTGGAGTCCCACTTTGCAGTGTTGACATACCAAGTGGATGGGATGTAGAAGATGGTCCTCCTGAATGTGGAGGTCTTGAACCAGATTTGCTTATCTCTCTTACAGCTCCCAAGAAATGTGCTGAAAAGTTCAGAGGAAGATTCCACTATCTTGGAGGACGTTTCGTTCCTCCTGCTTTGGAAAAAAAGTATGGTCTTGAACTGCCTAAGTATCCAGGTACAGAAGTTTGTGTGAAACTGTGAATGGTACATGCTGTGCAGAAGTGAATAATTAATTAATGCTTTTTGTAAAGATGGTAGTAATATGTACTACACTGCATACATTGTTTCGTGCAATGGAATGCTTCAGAAAACTGTGGTTATATTGCATTATGAAATTAAAGATTTAAAATGCTGTAATTTGTAAGTTTCAGGAGTCATTAATTTTAATGGGTGCTTGAATCTTGCTTCTAAAATGATAGTTGTATTGGCATTGAAGGTTGTGTTTTGAATTAATGTGTCTTTACTGTGTATGGTGTGATCCATTAGTGAATTAATTAATTTTAACGTGCATTACTTTATGTTACACCGAGTTTGATGTGATCACTGTCAGTTATAGAGAATGGAGTGAGAGAATTTTTAAGTAATTTCACAGATTAATGTTTAATGCTTATTTATTTAATACCCGAAAAACAGTTTGGCACTAAAATGATATGTATGTTATATAGTAATGTCAACGGAGTTTAACAAACATAATTTATGCATATGTTTTATCATTATCGCATTTTATAAAGAAAATTCTCAAGAACAGTGTCACCTAGTACAGTTCCAGTTATGTATAGCTAATATTTTCATGTTTGGTAAGAACTGGCTCTAGGATTATCAGTGTGTGGAAATACTGAACTGTCATCATCATTACAAAGTATAACATAGGGTAATAAATAATAAGTAAAATGTCAAATATAAAGAGGTGTGTTAGGTACTCTATATGGTTCAATTTGTTTAATTACACTTTCTTAATCACCTAGGATGTATGGTGGTGAATGGACGGATGGCCAAGAGTGTTGAATTGGGAAACAAGTAGCCTTGTCCAGTTTTTCATGATGTAAACAGTGTACAATACTGAATGATCTGTAAATCATGACCCAAGTGTCAGAGTGCTTGTTCTGTTTGTATCTTGTCTTTAGGCACATCACGAAATTGAAGGGCAATTAAAAGGTGGCTGTCTTCTGCATTGTTGCACCATGTAGTTTAGTAGAAGTTTACCGACGCTTCAACTGTCCTTGTTGCCTCTGTCATTGCCCTGATGACAGCCGTCTTAAGACTCACAGCCATGAAAACCTTAAATCCTATATTGAAAATAAATTATTTTCACCAAGTTTCCCCTTCCCATGTTATCCACCAGCAATTAATCAACAGATTTTGATTAAAGGTGGTATTGGAAAATCTGAATTAGAAACTGTGGTGCTAATTCAGTTCTTGTTGGTTTTGAAGCCTTTTTTTCAGCTCAATCCTTTGTCAATAAAGAATAATGGAGAGTTGTAGTATTTTAAAAGTAAGTAGCCATTACTGCAGTGTAACAGTAAAATGTGCAACAAGAAAGTTGTGTTTCTTTGTAAATGAAGATGCCCAAGATATTTGGTATCAGTTTATAACCTTTTCAGGTGAATTACAAGCAAAATGGTTGGCCAAAGTGTGACCAATAACCAGAAGAGAGAACATGCAATGGTATATTTGTTCTAAAAATAATGATTGTTACATTAGGAGTAATATGTTTCCATTTTTTGTATTGTATCCAGCATGCATACAAATTCATGTGGCCTTCCTATAACTGTGCTTCCATCGCCAGACAGTGAACCATGTAATGAAAAATATAACCTCAAACTGAAGCCGATAATTTTTATCAAGATGATGGTCCGGTAACTGGTGATTTCTGTCGTAAGTTGGCGACGCCGAATGCGTTTGTAAACTGTGAGTACTATCGTACAGTGTTTTGTTGGACGTATTATCGTGAAATGAGTTTTCTTATTAGTCGAAGGTACATTTTTACCTGTGTACAGTATATTTTAGTGAATGGGTAAGACTTAATTACATATTCCATATGGTGTTTGTGTTATTTATAATTATTCTATAGCCAGTCTTATAACCATTACAATATGGAGAGAAATGAACAGTGGTTTGCTATAGGTTATGTTTTCGGCTGCTTCACGCGCACAAAAGCAACATCTTCTGACGGTGAGTAATGTGGCTTGGAAGGCAAAAAGATTAATTTGTTTTCATTGGTAGTGTAACAAGGGAATTAATTATTTGATCAGCTTAATTAACATGTTCTGTCTTGTCCTCCACTTCAATGAAGGGCAATTCTGGTTTTTAAGCCAGAAAGTTTATATTTTGTGGACAAACCGAATACTAATCGAACTGAAACCGAAAGTGATAATTGTATTTTTGTATGATCTGGCGTAGACAACACGCCATCGTAAGTTGAAAGACCTAAGGAAGGTACAAGAAGTGGTTCCAATTTTTTATGTTTTTTCCGTGTCATTTAATAAATTCCATGGATGGATGCTGGTGAAAGTGGCTTGAGGGAATTTTTGTTTTCTGTCAGATGCCCCTTCCTTCTTGCTGGTCATAGAAAGACAGTGGTAGAGGTTATGAGGAAGAGAGAGAACGGGAAAGAAACATGCTGTCAGGTGGGAGGGTCAAAGAAATCACAGTCAGGAAGATGGAGTTCCACTGAATATCCTTGGCGGCGAGGAGGGTTTCTGTTGGCAGCCCATCAGCTATAATTGGTTGTCGCACGGGACGAAGAAAGGTGGGTGGAGTCAGAGGCTGTGGTTGGCTGATCTTCTGATACCGTGAGAACCTTTGTCAGTTGGATATACCCTAAAGGGGGTTGGGTTGCCGAAATATAATTAGAGCCAAGATTAAGTATTCTGTAGGGTGACAGGTGAGAACTGGACGGCTTGGATTTATTTCTTGGTTAGTTCTGCTGGGGACCCACTGGCGCGACTAGCGGCTAGTCGCACGCGATTTATGAAGTCGCGTGCGACATGTCGCACGCGGTTTTTTAATCGCGGCGACTACGCGCGACAAGCATTTATCAGTATTTAAATGGAGGTTGAAGAGAGAGCAGCCCCTACTGTTCTATCATGTCCGTCGTGGGAAAAAGCGAAGTCTTTGATACTGCATACATCCCATGTTCTTGGAACGTTCCACAAAAGGCGCATTCCATCTGCTGTACGACGAGAAGTTTTTCAACTACACACGAATGAGTGTGAAATCGTTCGACCAGCTCTTACAACTGATCAGGGAGGAAATAGAAGGAACGGATACAAATTTTCGCCAGAGCATACGCCCTGAAGAAAAACTCATGGTCACTTTAAGGTATGCAAAATTTATTTCAGTTATTCATTTAAATATCTCCACCTAGTCTGAACCCGGCGATACAGCAGAATTCTCCAAGGAGTGGTCTGATGTTGACGGCCTGTCCGGATAGGAGGTAGAATAATAACCACGTGGTAAATGGTGTGATGAGAAAACAAGTTGACTTTTATAGCCGCGCGCGACAGCTCTGCCGCCTGTCTGCCGCGTGTGTCCTAAACTTAACCGCGCGCGACTCGGCAGTCGCGCCGCGCCAGTGGATTTTGCACCTATAAAAAGCAATACAAAGCGCACGGCTATAAAAGTAACGAACTTCAACCAGAGCGAACTCAGTGACGCTGCAGGTCGCACGCGGGAGCCGGAGCTGTATGTGAGTTGCCTGTATTCCATATGGCGATGTCCGAGAAATCTTTTAACACAGAGTTGTTCATTATGGAAATTGAAGAACGACCAGCACTGTGGAACAGCGGTATGAAGGAATATTGTGATAAAAATATAAGAAAAACTTTGTGGGAAATGGTTAATATTTTAAAATCAAGTCTTCAAGCTAGACAAGAAAGCGAACACCACGACTCTGATAAATTATTTTTGTTGTCGCTCCTGGATGACTTCAAAATAATACCAGACTACTGCAAAAGTACGGCTAAAATTGAACTGATCGAGTTGATTCAGAGTTATCAACCGCAACTTGTTTTCTCATCACACCATTCACAACGTGGTTATTATTCTACCTCCTATCCGGACAGGCCGTCAACATCAGACCACTCCTTGGAGAATTCTGCTGTATCGCTGGGTTCAGACTAGGTGGAGATATTTAAATGAATAATTAAAAATTGATGTGTAATAACTGAAATAAATTTTGCATACCTTAAAGTGACCATGAGTTTTTCTTCAGGGCGTATGCTCTGGCGAAAATTTGTATCCGTTCCTTCTATTTCCTCCCTGATCAGTTGTAACAGTTGGTCGAACGACTTCACACTCATTCTCGTGTAGTTGAAAAACTTCTTGTCGTGTTTGCGTAAGGCTCGTGTCACACATATACGGCGACCGTCCAATCGGCACCGTTTACACGGAACGGTGAAGACTTCACACACAACCGATCATACCCGGAGCCGGTTATTCTGTTGTTTGTTGCCAACATAACTTGACGGTAAAACAAAACGTTCTGAGTTATCGTCTCTCTAGAGCCCGAAGGTACATAGAATGCTCGTTTGGAATATTAAGTAATAAATGGAGGATCTTTCATCGAGCTATAAACTTGCAACCTGATTTTGCTGTAGACATTGTCAAGGCTTGTGTTGTTTTATACAACTTTGTTCGGGAGAGAGACGGCTACGAGGCAGAGGATACATTGACAATCACAGGACTTGATAAAATACGTGGTGAAGACGTAGTGCGCGGGGGAATATCAACAAAGAGTGTGATAAATCTTTTAGCTGACTACTTCTTAACACCTGTTGGCTCTCTGAAATGGCAGCTTTCAAAGATTTAATTTCATGAACGTTAATCATATTTTTATTACTATACCTATATTTAATTGTAGAACAATTAATTTTATTGTAGAAAGTTTAATAAATTCACATTCACTGATTATTACTTCACAAGGTTGGTACTTAAGTCACGGAACCGGGCATTACACACGGCACGTGTGAAGGAAGCCATTCAACTGTTCACCCGACTACAAGTGGTGCGCCGTTAGAACGGTCACGGAGCCGGGTTTTGTAGTGGTAAGACACGGCGACTTCACGGTAGACCGTTACCGTATAGACGGCACCGGTGCGTGTGAAAGCTCTCGTATAATCTTCGACCTTTAACCGTGTAAACGGAGCCGTTTGGGCGGTTTGCAGATGGAATGCGCCTTTTGTGGAACGTTCCAAGAACATGGGATGTATCCAGTATCGTCGACTTCGCTTTTTCCCCACGACGGACATGACAGAACAATAGGGGCTGCTCTCTCTTCAACCTCCATTTAAATACTGATAAATGCTTGTCGCGCGTAGTCGCCGCGACTAAAAAACGCACGCGGCTAGTCGCGCCAGTGGGTTTAGCTTCCAATAGAGAATTTAGGTCACCGTGGCATGGCGAGACGTCAGATCGCGATAGGTAGGGGTGAACCTTGAGTGCACTTGTCCGGTGGGTTTGACACTACAATGACGTGTTTTTGCGGATTCTTATTTTGGCGTGAATGTACTCGAAGAATGCTAAACGTTCTTCAGCGGCGTCTGCCTTTCAAGAATAGCGCGGCATTTGTTATTTTGTCCGAAGTTCTGATAGAAAAGGCCTTATTTTGATCGTATGGCGCCGCGGTTTGGAATTTTTCTCTGAACAGAACAATCTTACGTGCTAAGAGGACTAGGACGTTTACTATAACCGAAATCTTTGAGGTTAGATTTCCAAATGGTCTTCAAGTAAGACCTGTCTGTCTTATTATTTATAAAATGTAATGCACGACCGTCGACACCTGTGCGTGAGATCTTCGTCCGTTCGGTTTGCATTAAGCCACTGCTGTCAGCAAATTAGAACAACTTAACTCGTCTCTGTCAGGCAAGTGTTTCAAAAATTAGTTGATACATTTAATGATATTAGTCCATGTTATGTAATGCAAAAATATAAACTCCTTGGTTAAGCATTTGGTGTTTTCATCCTAATAACTAAGTTTTAACGAACTACGTGTGGGTACAATCCATCTATAATATATGCATTAGAATTCAAGGAAGTTACTAGAATAGTCACAAAGTCCCTCCTCGCTGTGGTAACTGGAAACAGTTTCCTGAATTACTTTGACTAGTATTTTAGTCGCACTTTTATTGCATAACGACAGGCAGATTCCCCGATCACATCACTTCCGGTCCAAGGCGTTCCTATCGATACAGGCCGTGGCGATGTCATAGATCGATTCCTCTGTATTATCGATCCTTGTGGCCTGCCATCTCGTGGAATTGCACGATACTTCCGGGCAAATGCCCTCGTAGTTAATTGACTTTTGTCTTCGTGTAATTTTCAGTCGTTTTTCGATTAAATGTACAATAAGACACGTGTATTTCGACAGACGAAATACGTGAATATTTCATTCCACGATAAATGCCGTGTGTGAAAATTCCTATTCATTCAGGCAACAGTTTCCATCTTCTACCTTTCGCGAGAAGACTGCACGAAGCCTCGTAAACTTAATAGTCGGTATTTTCTCACAAAACGATCAAATAATACAGCAACATTTTCCTCCTGAAGAAGGTTGCGTCTTAAGTTTTTCTCTGTTCTGCTTTGTTCACAAACACTGCAGTGTTTTCTGATGCTGAAGACTCTTAAGACCCCTTTGGGATTCGCGAAACAAATAATTTGACGAATGTGAACTTCGTCCGTGCCTTAAATATTCGGTGCTCGAAAAGGAGCGTCTAAGTCGATACAGATTATGTTTGACTCGAACCCTCGTTGCCGAGCACCGGAGAGATGTCAGGGTTTCGTGAAGTTAAGGGGTCCGTTCCGCGTCGTCGAAGGAAGGAGCTCAGATCCAGACGAAGCCCCAGTAGAGGACGTTGAAGAGGATGAACGCGGCGGGGAAGAAGACGCGGCTTCGCCGGTCGATCCACTGGGCTATCTGCTGGGGCGTCATCGTCGTGAAGCCGGAGTTGTTGGGCGGGGAGCCGGGGGCGGGCACAGGTATCACCAGGTCCGTGTAGTCGGGGTCAGGCTTCGAACCCGCGTTGGGGTCGTTGCGAATGGAATCCATGGAGTTCACGGTCAGAGTGTTGCTGTCGTTCTGAAACAGGAAGTCGTGCCGGGGGCGAGACTGAAGACGCCTTCTTCCGGGATGTTGCACCGTCTGGTAGAATCTTACCTACGCTTCAGAGGTCCTTGATGCCAACATCATTATTATCACTGCCCTGATGATGGAGACGGTAGGCGTCTCCGAAACGTTGGTATACTTTACCAGACTGCTACACGGTGCAATAGTTTAGACCAGTGGTAATAAACCTGGGGTACGCGTACCCCCGGGGGTACGTGAAATTTAAAAAAAAATATTATTTTACGATAAACACTGAATAATGAGTAATGTAATTTATTTAATTTATTTTAGATGAAGATTATATACTATGTATAACTTGAATTATACACCAACGACTTTGGGGGTACAAAGTTGAAGATAAATTATATCTGGGGGTACGCGAACAAAAAGGGTTGAATACGACAGCCATATTTTTACTTAAGCAGTTGACTCATGTGGGATTTTGGACATTACTTCACGTTGCAGTTTCTTGTGGATTCTTTGGGATGTGGTTGGACGCACAAAAATATTTACGTAAAATTTTACGACCACTTATGGGGAGAAAACGAATTTATAGTGACTCATTCTTTTGCTTTTCGTTAAACCCAGTGTCGCCTTATTTGCATTCACTTAAAAAAGGTTCGCGGCGCGCTATTTATTCATCGGTTAGCGAGATCCTTGACAGAAATCTGGTTGTTTGCAGGGCTGTCCAAAGTACGTTCCGCCGCTTCGCGTGTGTTCTACATTTTCATTCACAATCTCTTTTCCTTCTTCAATACGCAGGCGCTTAGAAATTGCAAACGGGACAAATTCCCTTGATGTGCGCTGCAGTACGTAATTTATTATTATTATTTAGTGTTCTGTCTGAGGACAGGTCCATATGAACAGGATCCTTCCATCCTTTTCTCGGACTGGGACCTGTTCAGATACGTTCTTGGCAGATGATCCAGAAGTGGTTTGCCATTGCCTTCTTCTGTGTGTGAATGGAGTAATTGTTGGGATGCCACGGAGGAAAAGTCCGTGTTGCCTAGACCACGGCCTTGCCCAACACAAGTTATAAATTCGGGCACCGCCGGGAATCGAACCCGAGACCCCAGGATTACAAGGCCAGCGTTCTAACCGCTTCCCGTGTGATTGATGTGCAAAGAAAACAAAAGGTTACACCTGACGTATCGGAATTTCTCGCACAAAAGTCGGAGTATTACTCTTGGTGCCTTTTACTACGAAAGTAGCCGAGCGTCGAGGCCGACTGCTTCGTATTCGGCAGAACCGAATTTCCTCGCAGGTCCTGTCTGATGTTCTGAGTCTCTCCACGCGACAGCCGGGACAGGAGCTTCGTCGTCTGAAGCCAAAGCTCGTGTGAATATAACATTTAAGAATTGAGTCCGTACCGCGAAGAAAACACAACGCCTCACCGTTTGAAAGATTAAATGGTTGACGCTGTTTAAAGAAATGATCGCTGTGAGAATAATAAATACAGTGTGTGGGGAAAATGCGAAGCAAGTGGTACATATAGTTACCACTGGGCTTTAAAGGGGTAAATTACGCCAGGACCTCTATGACTGAAACTCACAGGCCCCAGGTAGAACTTGAGGTCGCTGTTGGAGTCGGTCTGCGTGACGTTGGGCCACGACTGGCATCGGTCGATGCTGGAGGTCGAACTGTGGATCTGCTTGCGACTCATCTGTGGCGTCAGGGTGGACTTGAGGATGTATTTGCTGTTCACTTTCTTCAGCTCCACGTTTCTCCTACGACAAACAAACAAACAAACAAACGAACAGTAAATCGCCCCGAATTAATTTGATGACGAATGCAAGTTCGTCAGAGTTACTTACTTCCTCCGCCAGATGGTGTTGACGAAGGCGAACTCCACGAGTGAGCCGAAGATGAAGGCCGTGCAGACGATGAACCAGATCTCGGTGGCCTTGATGTACGACACCTTGGGCAAGGAGCTGCCTGTGTTGCGAGTCAGCGTTATGAAAGTCAGCATCGTGCTGGTCCCTGCAACAGTGCACAGATAATAAACACTTTTGTGTGTATCCACGGGGTCGCGACGCCGGCACAGCTAATTAACTGCAGCTGTTCAGAGATGGCAGGACAGTTCAATTTATTGAGCGAGATTTCTCCAAAGGGCTATCTCATGCCAAGTTTATCGGTGACACGCGCTGATTACTCATGAAATAAAATCTTAGGAATTGAACTTCAAATTTCAGTATAAATGGTTTTCATAAATAACTTTGTGTAATTTTCCTTCGTGATTCAGGAATCTTAACTAGAACGCATTCCTGAACCTTCGGCGTACTCATTCCATGCGCTGAGCCTGAGAATCTCGTCCAACTCACTCACCCAGGGTCGTTCTGCCGGGAACGGCATTCGGGTCCAGCCAAAAGGATACCCAGGACACGACGACCAACAGGATGCTGGGCACGAAATAGTCCATTATGTAGTGACCGACCTCTCGAGCCAAGTCGAACCGAACTGTCAGCGCGCTGTAGTTACCACCTGCAACACCACGTGGGCCAGTCAGTAAAATGACTCCTTCCACGTGTTAGTTTACGGAGACATCTACAGGGCGATCGAAAATTCACGCAAGCATTCGTCACGCATTCTATCTGTCAAAAAATGAAGCAATTTCTCGTGTCTGATGCACGGAATCTGTTAACCAGACGAGGCACTGTCAAGTTTTTGGCACGGGATGATCGGCAAACGAGTCCTTAACCTCATTCTGGCAAGTCGAGGAAGAACGGGGTGACGCCGGAAGTGATCAACTGAACAGGTGTGACAAAGCAACTCACCAAATTTCCCGTAGTGCCTGGAGTGCAGGCCGAAGGTCGAGCTTACGTCGGATGTCAGCGAGTAGTTGGCAACACTGAAGTTGGACCACATGTTTACCAACCGGTACTCGGTGAGGTGAAGGTCCTTGTTGACGGTGACCGGCGAGTCTGGCTCCCAGAAGAGGATGAGTTCGCTGCTGTTGTGTGTCCCTGAAAAGTGACGTCGGTCGATGGAGAATTCAGACTCGAAGAAACTTGTCTCGATTATTCACTGTGTGCTACTTACAGCTTTCGAGGACCAGAGGGCACTGCTGTTCGTCGAATGGAAATTTCTGCAGGTTCATCAGGCAGAAGAGCGTAACTTTCATCCTGCAAAATTAGTCGAAATATTTTTAGAACTGATCTCGTGGGCGACAGACATTTTATTTGTCGTTTCGAGTGGGGGGGCGGGGGGTTGTAAGAGCAGAATTTCCTTCTAAAGGTCACGGCTTTAAGACTCTTGACACTTCAGAGACGAGCAACAACGCAGTTTGATTTGATGTGCCAGGAAGTTTTATTTTTAGATGAATTCTTAATGGCGAACTGACCTCGTGGAGAGCACAACAGTTCCGTCTGGCTCCACGGTGAGCAGCACGTCCTTCCTGTCGGACCCCATCACAACGGATTCCTGCTCGTTCACCAGGTACACGTGTGGCGTCCACAGACTGATTCTGTGTCAGAACAAGAAGAAGTAAGTGACACGAGTTGGCTGTTCGCTGTGCGGACGTATTGGCGGATTCCAACGTTGCTGCCTAAATATTCAACCCTGAAGACGGAGGCAGTTTGTTCCTCCGAAACGTTTCCACCCAGAAGTCAGCCATGTGCAACTCGAGCGCCCGTGAGAGACTCGGATTTCATTATGCAAGGAAATTTGCCGAGTGAATTCGTAATGTTTAGCAAATGTTTCGCGAAACGAAGGCCACGCGGGGGTGGGGTCATGTCAGTGGACACACTCACCTCGGATATCCCTCCCGCACTATCAGCGGCACGTCGGGGGCGAAGCCCCTGTACTCCAGTCGCTGGTCGACCCACCGCAGACGCAGAATGATGTGCGCCGTGAATTGCTGCAACACACACGACTCCCCGTAAGAAGCGGACAAAGACTCTGTTCGTTCGTTCGTTCGTTTGTTTGAAGACGACTTATCTCCTGGGATGTTGCGCCGTGCAGTCTGCTGGATACTGACCGACGTTTCGGCAGGTGCTTCCTGCCTGTGGCTCAACATCTCAGAAGACAGTCACCTTCATACTCGTCGCCTTGACAACCTCAGCTCTTACATCGTTTGGTTTGTTTATTTAGCGACGCTTTATCAACAGTAACACGTGACATGAATTTGAGGGATGTGGAAGGAAACGGTCACGGTCTGTCTGTCTGGAGCGGCTGAGGAAAACTGCGATCGCACTGGACTGTCCAGGCAGTCAGCGACGGTCGCTGAATAACTTAATCGCGGCTCAGGCGCCGTCCGACATTCAATTGTTCTGAATCCGTTGCCACGGACTGCGCAGTACCAGAAGGTCGAAGGTCGAAGACACTACAAGACTCGGAAGTAACTCCCATTTGCTGGTCACGTGGTTCTCTTTTATTTCTTTCCAACTGAACGTAGATTCCGAGTGGTTGGTACTCCTGCTTCGTATTTTGGAGATCCGGGTTCAAGTCTCGGACCGGACAAAGGCTGTTCTGATTGAGATTTTTCGTGGGATTCCCGCCTCCTCCTCGGTCTTCATTTTCATGTCTGATTCGCTCTCCACAGCTGCGACCTCAGTGTCTCTTTGACATCGATGAACCAGTCAGTCAGTTGATTCCAGGAGCGAGGCGTCTGCAACGAAAGGAATGCAAAAGCGTTCCTTGAGAAGCTGATAGTAGTTCATCGGAACGTCCATTGCCTTGTTCAATCACGCAGTCTAGATCGTCGCTTCCCGTATTGTGTCCTTCCGCCTTCACCTGCGGTGTCATCCCTTCGCGTTCCTCAAGCAAGGTCTCGGTCGCCTCGCCCTCGGTGGGGTGAATGATCTTGTGGCGGCGACTGGCAAAGACGACGGAGCTCCGCGTTGTTTAACTTCCGATGTCGTCGTAATTTTCCAGGGCTGTGTTTTCTTACCACTTCGAGCAATTAGGGCCGTGTTTCGCGTGTCGTGACGTCATCCAGCCTGTGAGAACAGCTTGGTTCGGATTCTTTTCCTCGGCTTTTGTTGATGTCCGATTTGGAGTGACAACGTGAGCTGCAATAAGCGACGTTTCGGTTGATGCGACGGAACCGAAACCCGTGGAATGTGTAATTGTGAACGGGGATTCTACTAGACATTGACGTTTCATTGCTTAAAGAGAGAGAGTTGATTTTAAAAATTCGTTAACATGATTGAAATCGGACCGATAGTTTTCTACAAAAACGGAGATTCAAGGCAAGAAATAAGAGGGAATTTGTTGAACAGCTGAGTGACTCTGGGCTTGATCGATTGATTCTTAGGCTACGCCCTTTCAAATCATTTGGCTTCATCCCGTGTAAAGACGTGAATGACGTCCTGGGACCTTATTTCGCCTGCGGGAGGAATATGATCTGCTATCTCAGTGTTTGTGTGGGTGGACTGAGGAAAACTGTGAAGAACTTCGGTCAGGACAACCAATTTCTGACTGGAGGCCTTCTCAGTCGCTCGACCGGACTTGACCGATAAACACTGCCGACGGTGATGGTCTGGCTTGTGACGCCGTGTGGTTACCAGCGTTCTCGTATTCGCGTCTACTTTGAAGATGGAGGCGACACGTTCTTCCAGACCATCACCGTCGGCACGTTCAGCGCAGTGCAGACGTGACCCTGTGACGTCACTCACCAGGCTCTGAGCCTCAATGGCGCCCAGGAAGTAGACGTGCATTCGCACTCCCACGTTGAGGGGCCCAGTCCTGTTTCCGGTGGGCAGAGCCCACTGGTCGTACCTGCAGGGCGCGACCAGCTCGTCCAGTAGCTCCGACCTGGCGCTCAGGTTCCTGAGGTCCGGGCATGACCTTAGGCAACACGGAGTTTTTCTCCGTGGCATCCCAACAATTACTCATTACTCCATACACACAGAAGAAGGCAATGGCAAACCACTTCTGGATCATCTGCCAAGAACGTATATGAACAGGTCCCAGTCCGAGAAAAGGATGGAAGGATCCTGTTCATATGGACCTGTCGTCAGACAGAACACTAAATAATAATAAATAAATACATATTGAATTGTTTCTCGCTGCATTTTATGACACGTCTGTAACCATAACGTTTTAAACTTTAATGGTAACTATATGTACCACCAGCTACAACAGTCAGTAGATCATCATGTGTTTCGTACGATCTCAGAATAAACAGCGATTATTTCCTTAAACTGCGTTAGTCATTTGATCTTTCGTAATGGTGAAGAGATGTGTTTTCTTCGCGGTACGGGCTGAATTCTTAAATATAATTCAGACGAGCTTCCTTCCGAGCAGGACAAACGAGGTCTTGCCATCGAAACACAATCGTTCAATTGTTTCATTTGGAGTGAACATTAAAACACTGTCGAAATGTAGAAACACTGTCAGGTTAGGTTTTGATTACAGTCTTTGTGGCGTTGAAAGTTACTATTTAACCAATGAACTTGAACAGCCGTTAAGACAGTAAAACACTGCGCTCAGTGGCCATGTTGCACTTCTCTTGGGTAGTGTCATTGCCACGTCGCCTGGCACTGGCTGTTTTATGCGTGAATGATTGATTACTGTAGTTTGCACGTCCGCTGATTGATTTTTGGCATGGATATTGAAGAAGCAGTCGCGGACAACCGACAAGGGGCGGTACTCCAGCTTTGGGGTTACTCGCGGACCTAAGAACTCCCCGCATTGGAAAAGAAAAGAGAGTTTTGTTTGAGAAGCGCTGCTGAGGAGAGCTCGAGCGGAGAACAACGCGTGGTTTCAACCTTCACCAAATGTTATTGTGGCTGTCAAATCTCTCCCAAGAAGAACTCTGGTCCGTGGAGCCAGTTACGTAACTCGTGATGCTTGCCAGGTGCAGTTGAATTGAATTCAAAGGTCGCGTACGTCCTTACTCGATTATAATGCGATTTATATGATCGTCATGCCATTAGACGTGCTAAAGAACGCGCTGTTCTTGTCGACAGCGGAGCCAGGAACAGCGCCGATTAACGGACGTTTCGGAGGTGCTTGCCGTAAGGCTAAACACTGAGCTTTTGCAGTGTTGAAGAAGGCTGTCTTTTGGGCGATGGATCGCCAGTTTTTGAAACTTCCAGACTACATGGCTTAACCGCCTTCAGAACCTGAAATTTTACCTAATACAGTTCTGTCTCAAAGAATTGGTTTTTTTTTAGGAGGTGAAAGAAATTACGAAAGTTTTGTGACGTTTCACGTCTGGAATGTCCAGTCTTTGTCGTGATACTGTGGTCGTCGTGTTTGTCTTACACATATTTAAATTTCGGATTTTTTGTTGTTGTTGTGATATTGCACAGTTTCCTGTCCTTGATGTTTGGTTTTTGCTGAGATAATTTTATTGTCGGACAGCTAATTAGCATGACGCCCAGCGCAAAATTAATTATCAGATATTAACACTACATAGCCACGGTGGTCTAGCGGTTAGAACGCTGGCCTTGTAATCCTGGGGTCTCGGGTTCGATTCCCGGCGGTGCCCGAATTTATAACTTGTGTTGGGCAAGGCCGTGGTCTAGGCAACACGGAGTTTTCCTCCGTGGCATCCCAACAATTACTCCACTCACACACAGAAGAAGGCAATGGCAAACCACTTCTGGATCATCTGCCAAGAACGTATATGAACAGGTCCCAGTCCGAGAAAAGGATGGAAGGATCCTGTTCATATGGACCTGTCGTCACACAGAACAATAAATAATATAATTAACACTACATCGAGATTTGATCTAGAGGTGTTGTATTCTTTGCAAGTAGACGGACATAGAACATGAAATCCTCTTCTGATTCAGACCCTCATGACAAAAATAAATCCGGGCACGTCCTCGACCTCAGGCGCCCGAATTGTTCTAATGGCCTCATGGACCGAGTTTAAAGATTCATTTGCCATAGCAGCAAAGGCATCCTTGAACAGGTCCTGACACCGTTTCGCTGAACTGGCAACCAGGGGACATGTTGGTCCTGTTTGCGCCTAATTGGTGTGAATTATCACACGCCACGACCTCAAAAATGGAAGACCTTCGCATCTGAGCGTCAGCTGATATCAGCCATGAATATTCATTCATTGGTGTCACCTGATGAGTCGTGTGGGTTGGCTTTTGGCTGTTCCTTCCGACGCATCGACGCTCATGAGTGTTACTTATAATCGCTGTCCTTTTCGCATTTTAACCGCGCACTTTTTCGTGTTCTTTGAGTCACGTCTTTGCGCAATGCCGCCATGTTTGTCCGTTACAGGTCACATTGTCGATGAATTTATTGAAGACGCGAGTATAATATTGATAAGGTAGTATATTTGCGTCATATTGTGAATTAGGTTAATATTTTAATATTTTCCGTCAAATCACAATTTTTAATAAGATAATAAAATATAAAATATTTAAAATATCATTTCACGTTCCGCATCGAATGATCGATTTACAAATTGGAACGTCTTAAATATTTTATATTTTATTATCTTATTAAAATTGTGATTTGACGGAAAATATTAAAATATTAAATATAACATTGATCTAATTAATAGCTTATACATGTGGTTGCAACCACTGAATGAGAGTAGATACCCACGTTTCGGAGAAATATATTGCCTCCATCTTCATGCCTGGTATCTTCGTACAAGTCAGCCTCAGTTCTTCTAAATGCTCCGTTAAAAATGTTTCCAATTTTTATAGCGCGAAGACTGTACTTTGTTTAACGACGCTGACTGTGCTGTGTAGTGTTGAATGATGTGATGATTGATGACTAGTGGAAGGGATGTGGAAGGAAGCGGCCGTGACCTTATTTAAGGTGATAGGCCGGAATTTGCATGAGAGACTGAGGAAAACCACGAACACCCTGAGTCAAGATGGAGGACGTGTGGATCAGGATTTAAAGTTGGTATCTGTGCGGAATGGACTGTGAATCAGGAGTGCCAACCGTGGCACGTTAGAACAAGTAACTCCAGCAATGGACTCTCTTATCTTCGGCTGAAGATTGGGTCCCGAAATCCGATTGTCTCGCGTTTTCTGGGGGGTGGGGGGCGTGGAGGAATATTTGAAAGTGAAGCCTTGACATTGAACCTGCAGCTAAGTCGACGTTCGTCCTTTGTTTTACTCCTGAACTCTCCTCCTTCGCGTCTCTCCGATTGATTCAGCCACGTTCTTTTTAAGTTGGAACCGATTGTTGCTCAACAATGGTTTGGATTCTTGTTAGTCAACGAATGACCTGGTACGTCGTGTGGCGTAAAGAACGCCTTTTCAGCGCGACTGGACGAAGGAAGGGAACGGCTAAAAGTTCTGTTCCGCGTTTGTTTCTGTAGACTGAAGAAAATCGCGGAAAATCTACCGGGACTGGAACCCGATGAGAAGTGGCGTTTGCCGGTCTCTCGCGTTCCTGGCTTTCCTCGTCCTTTCAGATCCCTTCCGTTCACTGGCGCGGAGTCGGTGTGGCCCTACGAAGTGAAAATGTTCTTGCACGTGGAGAGAATGTGAATTCTTAAGTAAACATCGCGATTATCGTCCAGGTCGTGTTACATGCGGTGAGGTAAGAGATTTCGAGGTCCCTTGGCCCTGGAAGTGCCAACGAGGGGGAGGATTGTGCTCGGTGGCTGTTGACTCTGTCTTCGGCGTCAATAGGAGTGCGCTAATGGTGCAAATTGCCCCACGTATGAGCGCATCGAAACGCTGTTGCCATGGTTTCGGCTCAGGCGTTTGTCGGCAACCACCTCAGCATTTCGCGATCCTTCTTCAGTAGCAAAGCAGCTGACCGCCGAGCGGGTTAATGTGGCGGTAATGATGAAGCCGTCTCTTCGAATCACAAGAGAGGGCTTCGGCTCTTTCGGGGAGTTTGTCAGACCCTCTAGACCAGTGGTATTCAACCTGGGGTACGCGAAGACATCTTAGGGGGTACGTGAAATTTAAAAAAAATATATATATTTTATGATAAACACTGAATAATCGGTAATGTAATTTATTTAATTTATTTTAGATGTAGATTATATACTATGTATAACCTGAATTAAACACCAACAACTTTGGGGGTACAAAGTTGAAGAGAAATTATATCTGGGAGTACGCGAACGGAAAAGGTTGAATATCACTGGTCTAGACGAACGCCAGTACTGGATCTTGAAACACCCGCCACAACCAAGCTTTTACGAATCATAAATCAATATTTATTATCACTACTATTATTGATTACTTATTTAGCTTGTGAATTTTAAGGCGTTAAATTCTCCTTCTCCCGCGAAATGAATTTGTCACCCATTTTAAAATAGCCCCAATTTAATTTTTTTTTTTTCAAAAATTACGTGAGCTAGATTACCCTAACCTAACTTTTTACAAAATGACCCCAGAGAACCTAGTGGTAAATATCCGAACCACATTCTCGGACATTTCTTAGTTGGCAAACTTTCAATTTTTAATTATGTAAAATCTTTTTTTAGAACTTGAAATTCCAGATTATTAACATTTTAAAAGTTTCAAAGTTTTTTAACATTTCTCGAAATTTTGGTTGTTTTCCACGCAAATACGATGTGTCGGTCAATTATCCGCTACGTTTGGTAAAGATCTGTTTGTTGGCCTGTAACAACGTTAAGCTGTGGTGAACAGAAATCTCATATAGGCCTCATTGTAGGCCTATGAGTCATGAATTGAAAGGTCAGAATTGGACAACCTCACACTAAGCCTCTTTCGTGCTACGAACAAGATATCTCGTTAAGAACTTGGTTCACTTTTCCTCTTCGATGGTGGAAAGAATTTCCTTGTCTTCTGTTTCCGATGGAAGAGAATTCAGACCATTTAACGACTTAATCTCTTGATCTGTGTACACAACAAACACAGAGGAGAACCGAGGATAACTTTGCCACGGCTTCTGAGTCATTCAACAATAAATTCGTGTTACGTCATCACAGGGAACGAGCGGCGGTAATTATTCTCAGAAGTAGAAATAGATGATTTATCCTCCAGAAAGTGCAAACACTGACTTTATACAACCATAAAATAATTCACCGCTCGGCTCAGTCTCCTTACCAGGGGTGCCCAATCTCGGATTGCCACGCAAAGTGTAGACAGAACGAACGTGCTCGCTGTTAACGTAGCGAATTCTAGGATTTAAAATGATTAAACAAGCAAAGAACACGCGTGAATTGTAATTCCATACATTTGTCTTTTGAGCGAGTTAGCGTCTTTGAAAGAGATTAAACAAAGTCTGTTTGCCCCGCAAACAGACGCGAGTGGCGTGCGAGTAGCAGGCGTTCCTTTTCAATGTACATAACCTCACTCCGCGTCTGAAAACAACAATTGGCCCTCGCAAGGCCCGTGCCGGTACAATAATAGGGCCCGTGACGTAATCATCTGTTTAGGCAAACAAGTGATTGTCTGCCGCGAACTGTATTACGAAACGGATCGTGAAATGTAATCCACGTGACGCAGTGAGGGTCTGTGCAAACAAAATGCAACCAAAGTTTAATTAATGACGCGTAAACACGCGTGAAGGTTTGACGTTTCGAAAAACTTCTTTGTTCGTTTCTTTTCGATTTTCTTTTGTGTCGTTTTGTAAATTACAAAATGATGATCGTCTCAGAACGCGTATTTTACGTAATCTCATTTTTTTTTCGGAAATGCGTCTAATTCCGCGTTGATAACGAATAGTTAGCGCGTACCGAATTTAAAGACTTTGCGTGCCCAATTTTTCTAAAGAGTCGAATACAATCAGAGGTTGATTTCGTCCATAGAACAAGAAAATATTTTAAAAAAGGAGCAGGATTTGGTTTACTTGAATTCGCCTGAACAGCTCGGGACAGGTGGCGTCTCGAACCAGATTCGAACACCGGACTCATTAACACTGAGCGCACCTGCTCGGTGTCGTATTATGAACAGGAACGGAGGAACGGAGAAAACCCCCTGAAAGGATTTTTTGTACGTAAAACCTCGAATTGTTTCTGCGAGTGTATTTTTAATAAACAACAAAATAAATTAAAAATTTATTTATTTTATCGCGTGTCGTTGCTACTAATTGCGTCTTCAGTAAACTTATTTAGCAACGTCGATTGCAAGAGGACCTTGTCCAAACTCTGGCTTTCGGCGGTGTTTCGCCAAACATTGCAGCTGCCATTTTCAGGGTGAATGTGTAGCTGTTGGGCGACATTAGGTCTGATTACCTTCGGAACTTCGGTTTTACGCATGAAATTAGCGCGTAATGGAGAGATCTGCTCGTTCCTCATGTTTGTGGGCGTAAGGCCCGTGCGTTCTGCTCTGGGGCCTACCCAGCCCCCTCTCCAGTGCGTGCCCTTACCGGGGGCTCTTTCCCCCCGGAGTAAATCAGTCGGAGCTTGAATCTAAGCCTCCACTGTACCATGACTTGGTGCTTAATTAAGCAACTCGTGGTAACTGTTCAAATCTCGACCTACGAACCAACACCGAGATTTTCCAGTTAACTTTAGTCCCTCCAGGAACAGGAGCTTGCGATATGCCACGGCCACTTCCACTGTTTCGTAACTGGCTATTTCCAACCCAGCTTATTGTTACGAAAATTATGTATGGGGGTGTCCAAAACGGCGCGTAGTAAGAAATAGTAATCATGAAAACGTGTTCTTCTTGGAGAGAACCCAGGGAGAAAAGCTTTGATTTTATTTTACAAAATTTGGCGCAGGGGTATCCAAAATCCTGGTACAGCCGCGCGTTTCTATCAATAAAAAAGGTAAAGATAGACGAATCCTCTAGCAGACGACATTCGGAGAAAAATCTGTGTAATAGATAAACTACATCCCGTCCGTCCGTCTGTTTCTTCCAGACAGCGCGCAATTAAGAAAAAAAGATTTATTTTGTAGTCGCGTCTGGAAATTTTGATTTCTTGTATTTCGAAAAATATCCACGTGCATTGCAGTTTATGCTTTAAAATTGTTTTATATTATTATATTACGACTTTTCTGATCGTTGTAGGAAGTTTCTGTTGCAGTTTCCTCAACTGCGTATCGTTGCGTGGTTAAACCTGCCGTTACGATGTTAACAGCACGTTTAGATTTTACGAAACGATGAATAAATAATTTAGAAAATAAAATTTAAGGTGATTTATTAAACTTAGAGCGAAAAGTATTTTGAATTTTCCGTCGTCTTTCAGCAGGCATTGCTAGTAACATTTGAGCTCATATTAACCATTTAAATCGCAGTGGTAACTATATATACCACCTGCTTTAACAGTTGGTAACTCTGCATTTTTCCCCCCAAACAACGTATTCATGTATTTCGTATGATTCCCAATGTAATCGGCGATTATTTCCTTAAACTGCGTTAAAAAACTGATCTGTCTAATGGTGAAGTGCTGTGTTTTCTTCGCGGTACGGACTGAATCTTTAAATATTATTTAGACGAGTCCAAAGGGTTGACTATCTGTAGCTACGTTCTTATGTCAGGGGAGGGCTCCAGTTAGTACTCACGGGTGACTGAGTAATCCCTGGGCGTGTGCCAAATGCAACAGCAGCCAGGCGACGAGGAGACACGCCATGTTGACGGCACGCACTACTGGCAACTAATGAAGCGGTCTCTCGCACCTAGATGGGAGGATAATATTAAAATGGGTTAAAAGTAATTGGTTTGAGCGTGTGGACTGCATTCGTCTGACTCGGGACAGGTCTGGTGTATGACGCCATTTCACGTCAGCGAATCACTGAGCGTCATCGTTCAACTACGTGCTGTGACGTCACGCATTGACATTGAATACCGTGTGAACTTGACTGCTTCGACGTACGTAACGTGAGGTTGGTCTGCAGGTGCGGACATTCCAGCAGTGGTCGGCGTCATGCCCTAATCTCTCGGTCGTCGATGCAGTAATAGCAAAATATTTGCCTGTTGTCTCATAACTGTGAAACAACAGTCAGAAAAACCGGAAGGTCCCTGACGTCACTCCGTTGTCCAAAATTAGAAACGCGCACTCTTTGAGTAACACTGAAATTCCGATTGTGTTCGAGCCACACCACGAGTGCTGCCATCAAACAACCACATTTGTCATTTTTTTAAATCTCTGGAACGGAGACAGAGACGAACTCGGGACATTTGACCACTGGTCTCGCGATCCACGGCTTCCCTCCACAAGAAATGCGACAGATGCAGTGCGGCTTGTGAGCAACACCACATCACGAACTGTGAATCGAGAAAATAATAGACACGCGACGTCTATAAAGACGGCTAGCCCTGCATTTCTGTGCAAAATTAATGTCCTCATGCGTTCTTTGCAATGTGCACATCCAGATATTAAATTCGCCTTGTTCGATATCACAGTCGCCACATATAATTTCGTCAAAATCCATCCAGTGTTTCTCGAGATTATCGATTGGATAGAAAAACTGTTCCAGCCAATTAGTGGTTATTAGTAGTATCATAACAGTTGCGGATAGGTGGCAGAACAATATACGTGTGTTGTCATCCGCCATCTATGTTGCCAACTTAAAACTGCGTGTTACCAATCTGTACCTAGGTCCGAACCACAGATTGCAAATTGAGTGTATTTTCTAGCCATGAGGTTAGGTGATTGCTGTTTCCGTATTAGCACACCACAGATCACCGCCTACAACTGGGATTAATTGTAGTCTTCTGCTTGGTGTGTGTATCCACCAAAAATGTTTAAATTAGAATGAAATAATGTTTCGCGTTCTTCGCAGATATTCCGTTCGGGAAGCAAGTTGTCTCCGAAGAGCTGTTCGGAGTTTAAATAATGTAAGTGGAGTTCAGATTTATTTCAAGGCTTTGTATAATGAAAATCGTCTTTGAAGTTATTATTTAATCAGCATGATTTCTTTATGGATTACAAATTAACAAATGCAACTGACAGTGTTCTAATTCAGTAGTAGAATTGAATAAGAATGCTTGTTGGGTTTAGCAGTCTTATGCACAAAGATAGTTTCATTTAAAAACACAAGTAATCGCTGAAGTTAATTCAGTGACAGGTTAGGTGTGGATAATAGGAAGGTGGTCAGCCCATTAACTTATTATTCTTCATATTATGTATTGCGACTGGATGTGTTTAATATAGTTTTTCTTCATTGGTTTGCCATTCATCGCATTAAAAAATGGGATTGTAACTGGTTTTAATACGTCCTCCAGTCTTCAGTGATTGAGTCATGGCAATATAATGTCAAGGAAGAAATGTCATTATGAAATTTTAGGTTAAATTTGGTTAATTAATTAGGTTAGTTAGTGATCTTCTGTTTTTGCTGCTGTGTGGATTTGTAGGTTGTTGGCAATTTTTTCTGTATTCAGGTGCCACTTCTAGAAACAGAATGTGTGTCACCTACTCAAGTGACATCTGACAACCAATATGACAGTCTGGCTGGTGTTGTAACCCCACTGTGGCAGGTGCCCTACCAGGAGCAATTACAGATTAAGTGGAAATGGAGTCAGACTGTTTTGGAGAACTTTGTGAAGAAATTACGTGACCAAACTAAGAGGAAGAAAGTCAAGAAGATTTCATATAAACTGCATCAAGTGAAGCCTTCAGTGAGTGAATGGAAAGGGAATAAATAATTCCATTGTATAGTTTTCCTTGATGATGTGATCAGTGAAGTTCCAGTAACTACCGCCTTGTTTCAGCCTGTTACAGAAGGTTACCGCAACAAGGACGAGTTCAGCATTCAGATTGGGATTGATGGAAA